ACACACACACACAGCATTCAGGGGAAAGCCTCTGCAAAGTTAGAGAAAACACCTCAGTCACTTCTCTCCCCAAGAAAAATGAGGTCCCACAAACCATCTTCTACAAGTATTTCCCTTGTAATGCATGGCTCACAAGTAGCACCAAAGTCGGCACCTTCCTTTGAGGGCTGTGGGCAGCACACACAACCCCTAATCGAAACTATGGCTGCTCAGGAGCAGGAGGCAGAGTGAGAGGCCTGGATTCAATGGGCCTTCAGTTCCACCCATGAGAGCATGATGACAAAGTGAGTGTGGGTGTGAACATTCTCTCCGTGACTGTGCCTTCCTGGCGATGAGCTGTGGTGTGGGGCTCTGTGCATGCAGCGTGGTGCCTCCTGCACAAGGTGCCCTGCTGCTCACCAGTGGGTCCTTCTCTGGTCAGGACCCGAGCTCCTGCATGCAGTGCAGCCAGAGGCAGGAGGAGAGAGGAAATGGTGAGAAAGAGGAGGAGGAGGAGGGACAGGCAGAGAACCCCAGGAGGGAGAGACCTGGGAGCCATTTCTCACATCCCCAGGAAGGGGGCTGAGCCTTTCTGTTCGCCTCCTCATTCTTTGCCTCCCACCCTCATGAAATTGGGTCTGTTTACTGAAAGGCCTGAATTTCTCAGGTTCATGGGAGAAATGGAAATGCTCAGGAAAGCAAAGGGTGGAAGGAAGTAACCTTCGGAAGTAACAAACCACAGAAGTGCCAGCAGGGCCAAGGGAAGAGAATTATGTAGGAATCATTGTAATATACAGGGTGTCCCCCAAATGTACACACACTGTAACAGCTGAGAGCTCAATTCTGAAAAGGAAATGTATTTTAACAAACACGGCCTTTATAATTATTCCAAGTGTGTGTATACATTTCCTGTGACACCCTGTATTTATCAGCAAACCTCTCACTCGGGCTCACTGAAGCAGGTACCCGCATCATGAGCTGGCTGGTGGAGGTGTCACTGCTGGTGCCACATTGCGGGGCCGTCCTGTCTGAGCCTGGAGCCCTTAGGCAGAGAATGACACCAAGAAGATGCTTTGAAGTGACAGTCAGTCCTTCCATTATTGGCTCTGACATACTACAGATAAGTTGGGGTAAGGGAAGAAGAAAAATAAGTGAGGCATGATAAAGCTCTTTTTTCTTTTTGTCTCGAGAGATGACAATTATGCTTTAGAAACTCCACTAGGTTTCATGTGCGCCAGAGTGCCTCAAAAAAGCGTCCAAATACACATGCTTAATACTGACATTCAGAACACCTTAACATCAGGGTGCACCAAGGTGAGGAGCTATGCGAAAGTATCCCAAACACATCAGAGGGAGAAAGAACATTTACTATAAGCCAAATATTTGAGAAACATCATTATATTTTCACAATGATCCTATGAGGATTATTAATAATCCCATTTTACACACGAGAAAAGTGGGACTCAAAGAGAGCAAGAAATCTGCCTAAAGTGACGTTAATTTGGATCTCTGAAGATTATATCTGGGAACAGAGCCCGTGGGCCCCTACTTAGCTCCCAGCTAGTCAGAGACCTACAAATGGCAGGGTGGGGATCCAAACTCATACATTTGATGCCGGAGATCCCATCTTAACAAGTAGAAAGTCCTCACTTAACATGGTTGATGGGTTCTCAGATTTAAGCTAAAAATGGCAAAACAAAGCCAATTTTACCATGGGCTAATTGATATTAACAAGAGAGGCTCCTACAGCATCTCAACGCTATAAAGAAAAAAGTTGAATGAAATGACATTACTCAAGGTCCTGCCGTTCTTAATCCTGCCTGCCATTCTAGTGGACTGACTCCTCAGAGAGGATCTGAATTGCTGCACTATTATTTCTGGTATCAAATCCTTAAGTACTTTCTACTTTTAGAATTATGCTTTCTGCTCTAATTGTAATACCAAGGTATCATTATGAGGGAAGTTTCTCAAACTCATGTGTGCTGGTTTTGTTAGCTCTCTCTCTTAAAAAATTTTTTTTATTGCTTTCAGAGAGGAAGGGAGTGAGAGAGAGAAACATCAATGATGAGAGATAAACATTGATCAGCTGCCTCCTGCATCCCCCTCCCCAACTGGGAATCGACCCCGGCATGTGCCCTGACTGGAAATTGAACCATGACCTCCTGGTTCATAGGTCAATGCTCAACCACTGAGGCAGGCGTTAGCTCTTTTCTTGTTGAGAAACTTGGTTAAGTTGTGGGAGATTTTTTTTTCTAGCCTGTTATGATGTAACAGTATATTCTACAGTCAGAAATGTCTGAAAAATGATAGAAAATACACTCAACCACAGAACAAAGTCCATAGCTATGTTGTTGACAAGTTACTTGGTTAGACTTCATACTCTGGACTCCCTGGTATGATTTGTGTCTAAAAAAGGAAAGGAAAAGAACCTACCTTTACTTTTCCCCGTTTGTGGCATATCTTATCAACAATACAATGCTCTCCCTGTTGCTTAAAGGAATCAATAAATGACTCTGGCCAAAATGGGTTGTAATTTGATATGATTATGAGGATTAGTGCCTTTAATCTCCACTGAGCTGGCAGGTAGGGTGATGTGCTAATATTCTGTTTTTAAATCAGACAGGATATTCTTGTTAACTAGACTACTTGTTTTATTTGGAAGGTTGCTTGCACCATGGCAGCTTGTCAACATCTCAAAGTGGGCGTCCACTGAAAGGTGCACCTTGACATGTTAAGTTTGAAAAGGCGCAAGAAAAGGAAAGGATACAGTAATTTAAATGCCAGCCTTGGCAATTCTAGAAAACAATGGGGTCTGGAAAGGAGGTTTTGTGCTTTCTAATTTCTCCATACTGACTGTGCAGTCATGGGTAGCCAGTGATGGCGAACCTATGACACGCGTGTCAGAGGCGACACATGAACTCATTTTTTTTGGTTGGTTTTTCTTTGTTAAATGGCATTTAAATATATAAAATAAATATCAAGAATATGTCTTTGTTTTACTATGGTTGCAAATATCAAAAAATTTCTATATGTGACACGGCACCAGAGTTAAGTTAGGGTGTTTAAAAATGCTGACACGCCGAGCTCAAAAGGTTCGCCATCACTGTGGGTGGCTGTTCACAGAACCAATTTCCTTCTACCCAGCTAGGCTACACTGCCCAACATGCCTTGTAGTTGTGGGTGGCCATATGACTAGGAAGAAATGTGAAAGGTAGTGTGTGCTACTTCCAAGTGTGGCCCTTAAAAAACCGTCCTAGCCATCTTCTACACTTTATTTCCTCCCTCTTCTGATTGTTAGGGTAGAGATAACCAACAGGAAGGCCTTGGAAGACAGGTGCTCAAGATAACAGAGCCACCAGCATTCTGTGACCCTGAATAACTATGTGGGGCACATCCTCTTTAGCTGACCAGGAATACTCTTTGGACTCTTAAATAAGCAAAAATATATTTCTATTGGATTTGAGTCATTATACATTGGGGGCCTATGTGTAACCAGAGTCTAGCCTACCCTAACATATTGCCCATCATTGACTCCTCAACTAGTTATTTCTGCATCACTAGTCCTGACAATTTTCTCTCTTAGATCCTTTAAAAGCTTCCCTTGCTCTTAGGATAAAATACCAAATTGTACTATAATCTATGAGAGCCTGCAAGATCTAGCTCCTGCCAACTCTCCCCCAACCTCTCAGCCACATGTCATGACACTTTCTTCTCTGTTCTCCATTCTATAATCACCCCAGTCATGTTTCTCTCCTTCAGGTGTAGCATGCTCTTTCTACCTCAGGCCCTTTGCACATTCTATTCACAATGAATGAACCACTCTCTCCTCCCCCAAACCTTATCATCTACTCAGTGTTCTGCACTTTTCTCAAATAGAGAATAAGTACTGGGGGTGGTACAATAAATTGGATCATTTTTCAAGAAAAAGCCTCAGCATGCTTATTGCCTAATCCTTTTTATGTTTAAGGGTTGGGAAGAATTTGTGAGGCTGCATTTTACAAGTTGAAAGCATATGTGTGCAAAAAGCTATTTAATGAAAAAACTACTAAAAACTCAAACATGTAAGGACATGAGTCACTCTATGTAAACTATGTAATATTCTTAAAATAGACTATTATATAGCCATTAAAATTATGTCATAAGAGAGCCATAACAGCCACTTGTAGCAGCAAAGTAAAAGTCGTTTCTTCTACCATTTAGCATTACAGCTGTCAGCATTTTGACTGGAGATTCAGTTTAAGGATGCTTTCTTTGTTCAGTAAATTCACAGAACAACTGTGTGATCAAAGGGGGTGGTTAGAGGGCTGGGTGAAAAAGGTGAGGGTATTAAAAAGTACAAATTGGTAGTTACAGAATAGTCACAGAGATGTAAAATACAGCATAGGGAATACAGTCCATAATACTTTAATAACTATGTATGGTGCCAGGTGGGTACTTAAAATATGGGGAGGGGGCACTTTGTCAAGTATATGATTGTCTAACCACTATGCTATACACCTGAAACTAATACAAAATAATATTGAATGCCAACTGTAATTGAAAAACAATTTGGAAATAAAAAATAGCATGCTCTTTCCCACCCTAAAAGGCATAATGACAGAGACACAGATTTATTTTAGTTAACCATGATTAATACAAATGGTTCTATGAGTAAAAATAAAAATTTAATGTGCATGGCCTGGCCAAAATTGGATATGACAACCTCAGATCTCATAAGAGTCCGTCTCTGGCTGAAGCTGGGGAGACAGAGCCCCAGGTGGCAAGGGAGAGTTGGCCAACGCTGGTTTTAATGTCCTGGGCTCCCCATGGTAAATACTTCCCCACCTGCATTCTGGGTCTCAATCTCTTTCAAGTGCCTAATTCCTGGTTTTGCTGCCTTTACTCCCTATTCTTTTCCCACAACCTGAGCATATACCCTGACCAGGAATCGAACCATGACCTCCTGGTTCATAGGTCGATGCTCAACCATTGATCCATGCCAGCCGGACTGCTCCCCATTCTTTTGCTCATACTGATCCCAGCTCTTAAGAGGATACCCAACACAGTCCATTATATCTATAGTGATTGTTCCGTCTCCAAGGACTGTGTTCACAGTGATCAGGTGGGAAGTGATGGCTCTATAGAAGGGGTCCCATCTGCACCATCACCAAGGGACAGCTCATTCATGGGAAGCCCTGCCAGGGGTTTTATTTTATCTTGCTCCCCATGTGGGAGTCCTGGGCCTGAAGGGATTTGGTTCTAGGAGGTTTCACTGATGAGGTTGGATGTGCAGACCAAAGGAAGCTGTTATATTTCTGATTTCTATTCTGCAGACAGGGTATGATTGGGGAGCCTGGGTCAGGGTGTGCCGCAGTAGGGGATATCTGATGAGAATGGCAATCAGGGGACTGTTGCTGGGCCCTGACACAAGAGCCATTCATTTATTCTTTGCATCGTAGCATGAAAACCCTTAGGGTAGCCGGCACAAACTTTCGGCCACAAGGAGGGGCAATTAGCAGCTGGGCTTTGTTTGTTGGTGTGCTTTGCTTTTTAATTGAAGGTGAATACCTTTACACAGAGCATACCACCTCGCCCTATTGTCCACTATTCCTCCACTTCCCTGTGACTTTCTGTCTCTATTGGCCTCTGAGTTTGCAAAGCCAACCCAAGGGCAATGCGTGTCTCACAACTCCTACATGCTTGGCTATTTTCGTTAATGACTCCTATTCTCTTCTGATGGATAAGCTCCAGGTTCCAGTTGGTCTTATCTCTACTATGCACTCCTTACCTTTCCACCACCACTGCTCTGAGGTTAGGCCCCCCGCTACCTCTCCTGTAAATTACTATGATGGCTTCTTAATTGGCCTTGCTGTTTCAGTATTTCCATTCTTCCATCCATTTTATGCACTGCTGGCAGCTTACTCCTCTGGAAGTATGCTCCCTAACATCACTCCCTATCTGCCTTGGTCTAAACTCCTTGGCCAAGCATTCAAGGTCTCCCATGGTGCAGGTGCAGCCCACCCTGCTACAGCTTAAGCCCCTCCACACCCTTTCTGCACTCTGGGCTCCAGTCAGACCAAAGCACACGCTGTTCTTTTACAGACCCTGGGCTTTCCTACTTCCGTGAATTTTCTCACACTCTCTTGTTCCACTTGGAACACTCTTTGCTCCACCTTTGCACATTCACATTCTATCAGTATGCAAGGCTGAGATAAAAACCACCTCTTCTCTATCATCTGCCCCAGTTAGAATTCTTCTTTCTTCCTCTAAACTTCTATAGCACTTTCCAGTTTCAGTGACTGAGGTGCATGCTTTTCCCATTAACCCTGAATCCCTGAGAACAGAATTTATGTTGATCTTTGTATCCCCACCTTAGCACAGGGCTTCATTAAGAGCTGAACAAATGAATTAACTCATAAGTAAATTTCTCACCTGCAACTTGGCAGTTAATGGTCACATTCACTCCCCGCACTGTTTTGATGGTGCCTCCTATATCCACTGTGATGGCAGGCTCCTTGGTGTTGAGCACAGTCATTCGTGATGTTTTCACTAATGGCTTTCCTAAAGATGGGAAGAAATGTGAAATTTTATATGCAATGACTATAGACTTGAGGCATTCTCTTGAATCATGGGATAATGAAGAATGAACTACTGGTATACCCAGACTTTTTCCATGAATCATATTTTCCTTTGAAAAAAATTGTAACTGCACAATATAAAAACCATCTACTTACCCACCCACCTACCTACCACAGAACTGTCGGAAAAAGAAGAAGGATGGAAGCATATGAGGATAAGAGGATGGTGTCCAACAAGTTCGGATGGTTTGTACATTTTTATCATTAAATTCACAAATGACCCTATACATTCAATTTTTTTAAGAGCTTGGTTATTTTAATTAAACTTTTTACTTTGAGATAATTCTGGATTCACATGAAGTTGTAACAAATAGCACAGAGAAATCCTGTGTAGCTTCTACCCAGTTTCACCTAATGGTGATATCTTATAAAACTAGAGTATAATATCATGACCAGGACATTGACACTGATAAAGTTAAGCTAAAGAACAATGCCATCATCACAAGGATCCCTCATGCTATCCCCAACCCCATCCTCATCTTTGGCAACCATTGATCTGTTCTCCACGTCTATAAATTTGTTATGTAAAGAATGTTATATAAATGCAACCATACAGTATGGAATCCTTTTTTTTTTCCCCACTCAGAAAAATATTCTGGAGATTCTGCCATGTCTCACATGGTACCATGCTGTGCATGTCAATAGTTTGCTCCCTTTTATTGCTGAGTAGTAGTCTATGGATGTACCACAAATTTTTTAGCCATTCACTTGTTGAAGGACATTTGGGTTTTTCCAGATTTTGGCAATTCAAATAAAGCTGTAGTGATGTCTCATTGTGGTTTTAATTTGTATTTCTCTAATACTAATAACATCAAATATATTTAAATGTGTCTATATGCCAAAAAAATAATGTTGAATATATTTTAATGTATCTATATGCCATCTGTATATCTTCTTTGGTAATATGTCTCTTCATGTCATTTGATCATTTTCTATTTGGATTTTTTTAATGTTTAGTTTTGAGAGTTTTCTTTATATTCTAGTTTATTAATTTTTAATCCTCAACCTAGGACAAAGAGAGAGGAAGGGAGGGAGGGAGAAAGGGATAGAGGTGGAGAGAGAGAGAGGGAGAAACATTGATCTGTCATCTTTGTGCCTTAACAGGGGTTGAATCCACAACCCAGGTATGTGCTAAACCGGGAATTGAACTGGCAACCTTTTGGTGCACAGGACAAAGCTTAACCAACTGAGCCATTCTGGATGGGCAGAGTTCTTTATATTCTAGATACTAGTATTTTGTGAGATATCAGGCTTTTCTTTTCATTTTCTTAACAGGATCTTTCACAGGGCAAAAGTTTTTTTTAAACTCTGATAAAGTCCAATTTATCAAGTTTTCCTTTCTTGGAACATGCTTTTAAAGTTATGTCTAAGAACTATTTACCTAGACCTAGATGCTGAAGATTTTTTCCTATCTTTTTCTAAAAGTTTCATAGTTTTACATTTTGCATTTAAGTTTGATACATTTTGGGTTAATCCGGGTATAAGGTGTGGTACTTAGATCAATGTTCATTTGTTGTTTTTTTTTTGGCCTATGGATGTCCAATTGTTTCATCACCATTTATTGATTTATTTTTATTTTTTAAGCTACATGTATGCCTGTGGTTAATTCTAGCATGAAACATT